GGAGACCTGGAAGAAGCTCCTGGCTCCTGGCTTCGGATCGGCTCAGGTCCAGCCATTATGGCCATCTAGGGAGTGAACCAGTGGATAGAAGACCTCTCGCTCTGTTTCTCCCTCTGTCTGTAACAACACCTCTCAAATAAATAAAATATTTTAAAAAACACTTGGGCATGGATTTCAGAGTATTGTTTACAACAGCCAAAATACCAAATTGCACACTTTAAATACTATATGTACAATTGGGTATACTTCAAATTATACCCCAAATATACTATTAAGTACAAAGAAACAAAAATGGTAAGTCAAATACTTATACGGCCAAGAAATGAGCCAACGTATCCTTAAAATCTTTTTAAGATTTATTTTATTTATTTGAAAGACAGTGTTATAGAGAGAGGTAGACAGAGAGAGAGGTCTTCCATCCACTTTGTTCACTCCCCAGATGGCCGCAATGGCCAGAGCTGTGCTGATCCGAAGCCAGGAGCCAGGAGCTTCTTCCAGGCCTCTCACGCGGGTGCAGGGGCCCAAGGACTTGGGCCATCCTCCACTGCTTTCTCAGGCCACAGCAGAGAGCTGGATCAGAAGAGGAGCAGCCGGGACTAGAACCGGTGCCCACATGGGATGCCGGCGCTTCAGGCCAGGGCTTTAATCCACTGCACCACACTGCCAGCCCCTAAAATCTATTTCTAAAGGACAGTGACAAAGAATGGAGAGAATTTACAGAAGAAAAGGGCCACCTATCCCTCACACTCAAAAGCCAGAGGAAAAGATCTTGGGGCTGGCATGTGTGTTGTGAATATCACTGCCGCCCGCGATGCTGGCAGGGCTCCGGTGCCCGTCCTGCCTGTCCCAGCTGCTCCACTTCTGATCCAGCTCCCGGCTATGGCCTGGGAAAAGCACTGGAAGACGGCCCAAACGCTTGGGCCCTGCACCATGTGGGAGACCTGGACGAACCTCTAGGCTCTGGTCTGGTCCAGTCCTGACCGGTGTGTCCATTCAGGGAGTGAACCAGAGGATGGAAGACAGATGTTTTTCTCTGTTTCTCCCTTCCCTCTCTGTAACTCTTTCAAATAAATAAATATTTTTTTAAAAAGAAAGGGCCGGTGCTATGGCGTAGCGGGTAAAGCTGCCGCCTGCAGTGCTAGCATCCCGTATGGGTGCCGGTTCTTGTCTCAGTTGCTCCACTTCCAATCCAGCTCCCTGCTAACGTGCCTGGGAAAGCAACGCAGGACGGCCCAAGTCTTTGGGCCTCTGAACCCACATGGGATGACCTGAACGAATCTTCTGGCTCCCACCTGACCCAGCCCCAGCTGTTGTGGCCATTTGGGGAGTGAACCAGTGGATGGAAGACCTCTCCCTCTCCCTACCTCTCTCTTTCAAATAAATTTTTTTTTAAAGAAAAAGATCTTGGATCAATGCAGATTAATCCAGGAGACGCTAACTCCACTGTCCGGCCCAGGTGTGACAGTTACTTTTAGGCGTCAGCTTAGCTAGATTAAGGGGCACCTAGAAAGCAGGTATCTTGGGTGTGTCTGTGAGGGGCTTCCAAAGGCGGTCAGCATGGTCTGAGTGGAGCAGATGGGAAGAGCTGGCCCAGCGCTGGCGGCACTGGCCACTGGCCGGTTTCCGAGGGCTGACTGTGGACAGGCCCCCTGCTCCGAGAGCCGGGCTTGCTTGAGTCCTTGCAGGAACACTAGCGGCTGGCCTCCAGACGCCGGGACTCACGCCTAACGCCCCTCTGCTGGCGCTCACTCGGGCTTCAGGCCTGGGTCTGAGGCCGTTGGACCTGGACCGAGTCAGATTCCGGCATCCCAGGGTCGCCAGCCTGCAGGCAAGCCGCAGTGCGACTTCTCAGCTGCTGCAGCAGCCGGAGCCAGTTCCTCAGGCAGCCCCCGTCACCTGTCTACCACACAGCCCTTCACCAGGCTTCTCCGGCGTGGTCTCCCCGGGAACCTGCTCCTTGCTGAGCTCCGGGGAGGCGTCTCAGCAGGGGTGAAGGCTGAGTGTGCTCTGGGCACACTTTCACCCCGACAGAGTCTGGTGAGCACGCTGCAGGCAGGGGAGCCTTCTGCGGAGACTCAGCCGCTGGAGTCGCAGAGAAAACCAAACCAGGAGTGTGGGGACGCTGGACCAAGACCTTCAGGCACCCGGTCTCATTCAACACGCCGCCGCCCGTGCCCGAACACGGTGTCCAACAGGAACGACTGACGCTACACTGTGCAACGGCGACACCTGGACCGCAGCAGCTGAGCTCACTGCAAGGACACGTGGTGGCCAGGACACTCAGCATTACAGGAGGTGGCCGCCTCTGCCTGAGGGTCACTCGCAAGGCCGTTAGAGATGGGTCTGGGCCCTGCATTTTCCAAAACTCTGGTGGTGGCCACGAGCGCAGACAGCACCATCACCAGGTCAGAACACAAGAGGAAAACAGCTGTGGTTCCTCCGTAAACAAACTCTGGAGGGGTGTGTGTCTGTGTGCACGTGTGTGCGCGTGTGTACATGGACGTGTGTGTGCGTACCTCTGCGTGTGCGTGTGGAGTGGGGCGGACAGGGAAAGGAAGAAAGGGGAGAGAGAGAGAACAAACTGGGACGAGAACTTGGATACTTTATTGAACTCCATCTGGATTATTAGATCAAAGACCAGGACACAGTGTGACACAAACAAGACCTTTATCAAATAAGAGGCGATACACACCATGGCAGTAAGACGTCCAACTCATTCTTCTTGGCAAGGGTCAGGAAGCACTGCAACCCCGAGCGCGGCACTCAATTCCCGCCACTCCTGTCACTCACGTTCCCCCCGTCCAGCCACCCCGAGCTCATCCCGAGCTCGCTGATGGAGAGCGGACTCCGGCTCCCTGTCCCCACAGCCCCGGCGGGGCACCTCTCGTCACTCACGGTGGCCAGCGAGTTCACCGCTGTGAAGCCTCAGGTGGGGAGCTGGGTGGCCCAGTGGTCAATGCGGCAGGCTCAGGGGCCACTCGGCTGGGGTTTAAGACCCGACTCCTCCACCCGCTAAGGCCAGGACATTAACTTCTCTGTACACCAGTTCCTTCATTCACGCCCAGAATAATAAAAGTTACTGGGAAATCTAAACAGTGAACGCCCTGCGACCAGCGTTGTCTGTTACATCTGCAGGAAATGGGCCCCAGACAAGGAAAGCCCGGCGCTGGCTACCAGGAATTCATCCTTTTCTCCCATCTCCCCCTTGGATGGACAGCAGGACTGTGCTCCCAGGAGCTCTGGTGACAGCCTGGGGGCTCCTCCCTTCACAGGACCCTGCTGCACCTGCCAGCCCTCCCTCCCAGCACTGCTGCAGCCGGGGCCCTCACTCGGGTCAGCACCGCCTTCCGCCTCCGGAGCGCCGCTGAGCAGTAAACTCGGACAGGGGACCACGGTCTCGCCCGTCACCCTGCTCTCCTGCGGTGGGGACAGCTCGGACAGGGGACCACGGCCTCGCCCGTCACCCTGCTCCCGCATGGCGGTGGTTACAGCTCGGACAGGGGACCACGGTCTCGCCCGTCACCCTGCTCTCAGCACACGGCGGTGGGGACAGCTCGGACAAGGGACCACGGTCTCGCCCGTCACCCTGCTCTCCTGCGGTGGGGACAGCTCGGGCAGGGGACCACGGTCTCGCCTGTCACCCTGCTCCCGCATGGCGGTGGTTACAGCTCGGACAGGTGACCACGGCCTCGCCCGTCACCCTGCTCTCCTGCAGTGGGGACAGCTCGGACAGGGGACCACGGTCTCGCCCGTCACCCTGCTCTCCTGCGGTGGGGACAGCTCGGACAGGGGACCACGGTCTCGCCCGTCACCCTGCTCTCCTGCGGTGGGGACAGCTCGGACAGGGGACCACGGTCTCGCCCGTCACCCTGCTCTCCTGCGGTGGGGACAGCTCGGACAGGGGACCACGGTCTCGCCCGTCACCCTGCTCTCCTGCGGTGGGGACAGCTCGGACAGGGGACCACGGTCTCGCCCGTCACCCTGCTCTCCTGCGGTGGGGACAGCTCGGACAGGGGACCACGGTCTCGCCCGTCACCCTGCTCTCCTGCGGTGGGGACAGCTCGGACAGGGGGCCTGACCCGGGGCGGCGTCAGGAAGGAATGCAGGTCCCCGATGACCCTCGGGGACCCTGCTCACCTCCACAGACCCTACTCACTCAGCCGCTGGGACCGGGGGGCGACAGCGCAGCGCACAGAGCGGTCACTCTGTGACCGTAGAAAACGCTGCCTGGAATAACCGGGAAGCCCGACCCCGCACTCAGCACACAGGAACACAGAGCAAAGGCCGGACAGCGGCCGCTCAAGCCGCAGCTGACCCGCACGCAGAGGCGGGGGCCAGTCAGCCAGGAGCCGCAGTCCCCGCCGCAAGCTTAGGGACGGCGCCCCTTCCCCGGAACGCTTCGCTCCCGCAGCCCCGGCCTGCCGACCCCTGCCCCTCCCGGGAGTCTCACTTAGACCCCACCCCGGCTCCGGGTGCGCTCCTCCGTCACCAGCCCATCACCCCGTTCTCTCGGCCAGGGCGGCCGGGCACGTCCTGAGGCGCTCCGCGGGCGACTACGGCGTCCAGACGCGGGGGCGCACGGGGAAGACCCCAGGCTCCGCGGGCCCGGGTCCCGCCTGTCTGCGCAGGCGCACGGCGCCCCGCCCACCTCAGGCCCCGCCCCTCCCGGCAGGTGTGCGCGGGAGACCCGCCCGCTCGCCTCACAGAAGGGCCGAGCCGGGAAGTGCAAGGCCCGCCGGGGGCTCCCCCGCGCGCGCGCCCGCCCGCCATCCCCTCCCTGACGCCGAGGCCCCAGGGCTCACCGCTTCCCCCGGAAGCTGGAGCTCCTCCTGCCTCCGCCGTCGCCACCGGCCCAGCGCAAGGGCCTCCATGCGGCCTCGAGCCCGAGTCCGCGCGGCTCCCCGCGCCCGTCGCGCCCACGGCCACGCCCCCTTCCGCACGTGTCCCGTGAGAGCCAATGAGGAGGCGGAAGGGGTGGGGCGTCGAGGGCAGCACGTGAGCCTCCGAGGCGATGGCCGCAGGCAGGAGTAGTGGAGGCCAGAGTCTCCTGGGGACTAGGGCCCTGTGGGGCTCGCGCGTCTCTCCAGGTCAGTCTTTAGCGACGATTAGCCAGTATGTCCTTTCTCGGTTCACAGAATCAACCGCAGATCCCGAGGAACCCACTTCAGGATCCCCGCCACGTCTTGACTGCCGGTTTCCAGAGGATAGAGCAATGCCCGCCTCCTCTGCCTTCTGATTGGCCCCTGCGCCCTATCAGCAGCCTTCTTCCTGTGGCTGACAGATGGCGCGGCAGCCCAATCATTACGGCCGAGGCTGCCGTGGGGCGTCGCTGGGAGTTGTAGTCCCGGGGCGGCCTCCTCACTTCCGGAGTGGCGGCCGGCTCTGGACTACGCGTGCCGGCGTGGTCTGGAGTCGGTGTCTGCGTGGTCTGCAGTGGGGAACGCCCCGGAGGTGCCCTACTGCGCCTCCGGGCTGGAGGGCCGCGGGTCCGGTGGCCGCGCAGTAGGGGAAACTGAGGCCCGGCCGGCCGCCGAGGGGCTGCCCGCGTCCGCGGCGGTCGTGCCGCGGGGCTCCCGCACCCAGGCCCCACTTTTTGACGGTTTTAGCCGCGGTGGTCCTTGGGCAGAGCCAGGCCGGCAGCGGGTGAGATCCGGCTGGGCGCGGGGGGCCGCCTGGTCCCCGGGGGGCGGGGGTCTCCTGCGTTCGCTCCCAGGACCCCGCGCTCGGGCCGCCTCGGTGTCTTCGTCGGGAAGCCTGGGGGGGACGGGGCGGGGAGGAGTCTGTTGGTGCAGACCGTGTGCAGCCCATGCGTGCCGAGCGTCTCAGGAGCTTTCTTGGGAAATGCGTGTTATTTAAAAAAAAAACTGAATTTTAAAATTTTTTGCACCCAGGTAAGCATGCTTTAACTCCGTGCTTCCACGTGTTTCTGCAAGTACCCTGTCCAGGGCACGCGGGAGGGTGCGTGACATAAATTAAGGACTGGAAGTCGGATGCGCCGCCACCGCCAACGCTGGTGCGGTGTCCCCTCGGAACCCGGGGGGCTGCGGGTGCTCCTGGAATCCAGGATTTTTTTTTTTTTTTTTTTTTTTTGGTGTCTGTAATTCTTAAGGTCTTGCTTCTGTAGATCAGCGGTGTGTTAAAAATTATTCTTCTTACTGCTTCTCTCTCCAGCTGATTTTTTAAAAATTTACTTGAAAGAGAGACAAGAGGGAGAGGGAGATCTTTCGTGCACTGGGTCGCTTACCAAGCGGCCAACAGCCGGGAGCCGGGAGCTCCATCGCTCCATCCGGGCCTCCCACGTGGGTGCAGGCGCCCGAGCGCCCATCAGGTGTCAGCAGGAAGCCGGATCTGGAGCGGAGCAGCCAGGACTGGAACCTGCGCTCCCGGGTGGATGCCGCCCGCAAGCTGCAGCTTAAGGCTGCCCACAGGCCAGCCCCTCCTGTACCGCTGAAGGTTGTGTACGGGAATAACTATGCTAATTTTACTTCTCCTTAATTAGTAACCATTAAATAGTTCATCCTTTTCTTGTTAACATTTGAATTCTCTTTATGTCCTGAGCTACCCTTCCTTTGGCTGTATGGTAGACAAATCACTTCTCTTGGGCCTTGACTTTTCTGTTGATGGTGTCTTGAAATTCAGGATTTTTTACATTTCTAAGCCAAACAAACTGAGTATTTTGAGTTGTTTAAAAGGGTGATGTGTGCACTGTATTTCATGAAACACCCTAGGAGTATCTGGGACTACCCCTCTAATCAAATAATACTTTGGCAGCTAAAATATATGAATGTTCTCAGATATTCAGCCTACATGGGATATACAGAGACTAAGTATTCTCAATTCAAGTGGGTTTTGTTGGGTCTCATGCCCGAAGCTGGCCCTGACCAGCAGGGCCCAGTGCAGACACTCCCCAACAAGGTGAACAGGAAGGGTAGGTCCACCGGTGAAGGACACACCACAAGCCCGTGGGCTCTGTGGAAGCAGGAACGCTCTGTTGAGGAAGTGTGCAGGCTTATTAGAAAGTTTACGAAGGACGCGCGCAGTAGGGGAGCCAATCAGAGAAAAGATCACGCAGGCGTGGGTGGGCCACACACAGGGCACCTTAAGCGAAGTATAGGGATCACGCACCGTCCACGTGTCCGGAACCAGAGTGGACCTGTCCCTGCCGGTGGTCTGATCTCCCGTAGCTTAACCGCGGCAGCCGCAGGCGCCGTATTGTAACGGAGATTTTAGGCAATGCCCAACAGGGTTTGTGTCAAACGCAGGAAAAATCAAGCTTTTTAGAGTGTTTGCGAGTTGGATAGAATGTGCTGTGTCTGCTTGGTGGTCTCCGGTCCTGCGGTGTAGAGGAGACGGTTTGCCCTGTTAGCCAGGGTCAGCGTCACTGCTGCTGCTTAGATGGGCCGAGAACAAACACCTCGACACATTTCCTTCCTGAGGTCGAATTGTCTTCATTAGTGACTCAGGAGCCAGGCAGCTTCCAGTCCTCACACGTAAGGTGCTGTGACGGCCCGGGCAGAGCTGGGGAGCTGCAGGCGGACGGCGGGGGAAGCAGGACGACACATTGCAGATGGGCTGCTCCAGGGTTCCCTTCCTTCAGGGGTGCGAGAGGAATCTTGTTGGCTTACTGGGATCTAACTCTCATCTCTCTCCTGGTTTCTCAGAAGGTGCGATCTTACAAGTAAACAGCTCGGGCTTCAGCCTTGTGTGAGAACCCGCTTCGGGGCCTGATGTCTTGAACAGATGGCCCGAGTGACCGCTGGGTCACGCGGGGTCCGGCCGTGGGCATGTTCAGAAGGACGTGCAATGCAGCACACTGCTGAGCGTGCGTCACTTGGTGCCGGCCGGGACGTACACCAGCCTTCGCTGCTGTATGTGAATTCCCCGTGTCTCCATTTATAAATGATGCTTTAAAGTGCTTGTTATTTTAAAATTCTAAGTGAATGTATTAACTATTAGAAGAAAATATGGGAAAGGTTCATGATATTAGATTCTTGCATATTATGCAAAAGCACAGCGAAAAAAGTTAAATTGGATTACATCAAAATCTAAAATTTGTGCCCCAAATGCACTATTACAGTGAAAAGGCAATCCATGAATCAGAGAAAATATTTGCAAATCATATATCTGCTAGGGAGTTACTATCCGAACTTTATAAAGATTATCTACAAAATTAGCAGCAAATAATAAAAAAAGGACAAATTGACAAAATGGGGTGGATGTTGCAGCACAACAGGTTAAGCCGCCTCTTGGGATACCTGCAGCCCGTATCAAAGTGCCTGGTTCAAGACCCAACACTCTGCTTCTGATCTCGCGTCCTGCTAACGCCCAAGGTCTTGGGCTCCTGCCACTCATGTAGCAGCCCCAGATGGAGTTGCTGGCTCCTGGCTACGGTGGGCATTTCAGGACTGAACCAGCAGAAGGAAGACACCTCTCTGTCTCTGCTCTCTTTGTCACTCTTTCAAATATCATTTAAAAAAATTAACAACTTGAATAGAGATTTTGCCAGAGGAAATACACAAATGCCCAGTAAGTACATGAAAATACAATCCATACCGTTATTCATTAGGGAAACACATCAAAACCAGGTTGGGGCCCGCTTCTCAGCCGTCAGGGCGAGAAAAGAGAGAAGGCTGGCTGTGGTGCGGAACGCAGCCGCCACCTGGGTGCTGGCACCGTGTGCGTGCCTGGCTCAGGTCCCAACGGCTCCCCTTGTGATCCCCTCGTGGGAGTTGGACGCTCTTGGGAAAGCAGTGGAAGATGGCTGAGGACTTGGGCTCCTGCCACCCACCATCCCCGGCCATGGTGACCATTTGTAACAAATGGTCCATTTGGAATAAACCAGTGGATGGACGACTTCTCTCCCTCTCCTCCCCCTGCCCCCAGTAACTCTGCCTTTCAAATAAATAAACCTTTTAGAAAGATAAAAGAAGTGCCTGCTCAGATGTGAGGACATTGGCTCCCCTGCACCCTGCTGGTGGGGATGGAACAGAGACGCCCGCAGTCCTCTCGTGGGTGGAAGGGGGGCAGCGGAGAGCAGGCACTAGGTGTGTACACGCGTGTCAGAGCGGGATCACCCACAGGAGCCAACAGGGGGGAGGGCCCACGCGTCCACTGATGGCCAGGGTGGATGGGCTGGAAGGCATCATACGGAGAGGGAATCAGTCACAAACCAGACTCCGAGTCCCCTCTCTGAGGTCCTGGAGCAGAGGCACCAGTCGGGGTGGAACGGTGGGGCCGGGGCTGGGAGGAGTTAGTGTCTCTGGGACAGAGCTTTAGTCTGGGAGAATGAAGGAGTTCCGGGGATGGGCGGTGGTGACTGGCTTACACTAAGTGCATAAGCACTTCACACACGCCGAAAACGGCCACGCTGGCAAGTGCTAAACGAAGTGCTTGGAGGACTACAACTAAACGCTGCTTCTCCGTGCGTCCCGCGGTCTCGCTGGCCGCCCTCAGGGGCCGTGACTCAGGAGAAAGATGCTCTAACTGGAGCCCCTGGTTCCTACCTCAGAGGGGTGCTCTGAGTTTTAAGTGAGACCCCGGCTGTGCAGGTTGGGGAGCTCTCAGTACCCCATGCGGCTGTCTCCTCTCTCCCCACAAGCACTGGGCCTCCTGGCGTCCAGGAAGTTTCCGGAGAGTTGGTTCACTTCTGGCTCCAGACGGGGATGTGCGCTGGGTGCGTGCTTTTCTGAGCCTCCGTTCTTGCATCTGCAAAGCAGGAATAAAATAGGGGCCGGTGGTGTGGCGTGGAGGGAAACCGCGGCGGGGAGTGACCCCCCGACGGCGGAGCTGTCTCTCCCTCCTCTCTCTCTCAACTCTTCTTTTTGTTGTTGTTTAGATTTTTATTTATTTATTTGAAAGTCAGAGTTACACACAGAGAGAGAGAGAGAAGGAGAGGCAGAGAGAGAGGTCTTCCATCCACTGGTTCACTCCCCAACAGCCAAAGCTGTGCTGATCCGGAGCCAGGAGCTTCTTCCGATCTCCTACGTGGGTTCAGGGGCCCAAAGACTTGGGCCATCTCTCCTGCTTTCCCAGCCCATAGCAGAGAGCTGGATCAGAAGTGGAGCAGCCGGGACTTGAACCAGTGCCCATGTGGGATGCCGGCACTGCAGGCGGCAGCTTTACCCGCCATGCCACAGCGCCGGCCCCTAAACTCTACTTTTCAAATAAAGAAATACTTTTGTAAAAAGGAATAAAAAGACTGCTCCAGGCTATTGGTTTTTTAAGCTTATTTATTTATATTTATTTGAAAGGCAGAGGGCCAGAGAGTGCTTTCATCCACTGGTTTACTCCCCAAATGCCCACAACAGTAGGGGCTAGGCCAGGCCAAAGCCAGGAGCCCTGACCCTCATCCCGGTCTCCCACGTGGCTGGCAGGGACCCAAGTGCTTGAGCCAGGCACATCAGCAGGAAGCTGGATCAAAAGCAGACGTGGGATTTGATCCCAGGCTTCCCAATACGGGTGTGACTGTCCCAGGCTGGGGCTTAATGCACTGCCACATAACTCCTGCCGCTAGGCCATTTTTTAACTTTATAAGGAATGGTTTTCTTAGATACTGTACCAGCAGTAACTGGTACATTGCCAAGACGCTTGCTCCTTCGTGTTTTTCTGATTTTGAGTGAAATGTCCCCTCTGCAGGGGAGCCGGGTCCAGCACCCCACCTCCAGCAGCCACCAGCGCTCCGGCCAGTAGCCCATTGCTGCTCTCCCCGGCGCTCCTCTCTGTGGGGTCGGTTTTTTCCCTTGCACTGACAGATGTTCTGTTTGCGTCCCCCAAACCCCGTGCCTGTTGTCCAGTCCAGAGCCAGGCACACAGCAGGCACTCGGGAAGCAACTGGGCTAACTAGACACTGCGCCAGTCCCCCGGGCGCCCCTCGATCCTCCTCCAGGTCACAGGGCAGGGCTGCCTTCCTGTTCCCAGAGAAACGCGGCCTCGGAGAGGTCAGCCCTCGTGCCCGGGGCTGCGGCTGCTTCAGTAGCAGCTCTGGGTGGGTTTCCCGCCTCCTGCTGCTCCGTGGCCTTTCGGCTCCTGTGCGAAGCCCCCCAGCCAACTGCAGTCTTCGTGAGAACAAGCGGAGCCTGCGGGCCTTCGTTCCGCAGCCGGCAGCCGGCGGGGCAGGGTGTTCTTGAACGTCTGGAGTGGCAGGTGTAGCAACGTGCCAGGGCTGAGGGCTTCTGTCTCCCTAAGGCTCGGGCGGTGCTGCCTCCCTGGCTCCCTCCTCAGTGGCCTCGGAGGCAGCCTGGAGCTGGCCTGCACCTGCACGGGGCAGCGCCCTTCGCACCTTGGCCTTTTTTCCTCCCTGGCCCCTCCACCATGGCCAAGCTGCTACCACCGTCCGTTGATCCCACAGGCCGTCCCTTCATTGTCAAGTGTCGCCTCTGGTGGCTCCTGCTCTGACTTCAGCCCCCAGAGAAGCCACCTGCTTTCCCTCGCGCTGGCCACGCTCTCTCCTGGACACAGCAGGGGCGCTCCAGTGACCTGTGTCCCTGGGCCTAGCATGGGCGGGGCCCAGTGTGGAGGAGTGGCAGGTTCCGTGGAGCTGGCTGTGTGACAGCTGCTCAAGCCCCAGGGAGGCCTCCAGGAGCAGGTGCCACTGCCCCGGCCCCTCCGCGCCGCGGTTGGCGGTCGAGGCCCCAAGCCTGGGGAGGATGAGACGTGAGGATGTGCACCCTCCCTCAGCCCGTGTGTGCTCACCCCACGGAGCTGTAGCAATTGCACAGATACCTGGGTGCACACCAAGATGTCTGAAACCAGCTGGTTGGGAGGGGCCCAAGCTCTGCAGGGCCCAGGTCTCTGACCCGTGTCCCTCCCTCTGGCTGTGGGCAGGGCAGGCTGTTGTCCCCTAAGAGGATTAGAAGCTGAAGTACAGCCTTCTCCCTGGACAGTCCACACCTGATTTGGTGAGGCTGTGGTTTTGTTCCAACGTTATTTTACCTTAGGCTGAATTTTCCTTTATGGCAAAACCCAGGATCAGGTTTCTCTAAATGTAATCCATGCAGTAATCCAGGAGTACTTTGTTGAGGCAAAAAAAGCAAACCAGTTTTCAGCTTCCGTGATGATAACACGCAGAGCTTTGTGCCCTAAGTCAGTTCCCTGGATTATTTTCTGAAATTGCAAATGTGCTTCAGAGGAATGACGGGAGACAGCGAAGGCTGAGTGCTGAACGGCTCTCACCAGTTCAGGTGATATTGTGCAATGTGTGCTCACACCTATCCCACAGGTGCTGGCGTGGTGGCACGGCAGGTAGAGCTGTTGCCTGCACGGCGGCCATCCCGTATAGGTACCTGTTTGAGTTCCCACTGCTCCACTTCCTATCCCGCTCCCTGCTAATAGCCTGGGAAAAGCGGCGGAATACGGCTCCTTGCCACCCACGTGGGAGACCTGGAAGAAGCTCTGACCCTTGGCTTTTTGGCCTGGCCCAGCCCCAGTTGTGGCATCCAGGGAGTGAACCAGCAGATGGAAGATCCCTCTTTCTTTCTCTCTCTCTCTCCCTCCCTCCATCCCTCCCTCCCTCTCGTTTTCTCTCTCTCTCTCTCCCTCTGTCTTTCCCTCCCTCTCTAACTTTGACTTCCAAATAAATAAACACATCTTTAAAAAATTCCATCCCATAATATAGCCATAAACACTTTGCTACATATGGAAGGTAAATATTTATAATCTGTCATTTTGCATTTTCTTCATAGTTGCTCTAAGTAAAATATTGATATAAAGGCAAATATAAATAAAATGAAAATATCAATAAACCAAAATGCACCTTGTAAGATCAGTAGCTCTGTATTGGAATGGGAAGCGTTAATTGCATCTCGTACACACCTGTCCCTGCTTCTCATTGCCCACTGGTGTTTGTTGGCTGCCGTATTCCAGTGCACTTGCCAGGTCGCGCTTTGTTTCTCTAACAGTGGATTGAAATCTGAGCGTGATGTTTTATATTTCATCCTAAATTTTTTTATTTTCCAGGATATGAAATCACATTGGTTATGTTTGATAATCCATTTTTGGCATGTATTTTCATATAAATTATGGGGTGTTTTTGCCTCTCAGTCCTTACAACATAGTAAGGAGAAAGCCCCCAGCATGTGGAAATATGACTGATGCCACGCTGGTGTATGGGTTAGAAATAATAAGGATTATAAATGACTCACTGGGTGCAGGAAACAAGAGGAGAAGACTTATTGGGGGAGAAGTGTAAAAGCTTGCTCGGTTTATGCACAGCTGAAGGAAGGCACCGTGAGAGATAGATTACAGTCCCCCTCTCTATTATTTCTAAGGCAGTTTTTATTAACCCCTTTTTATCAATCAAAATGAATTGATTGCCTGTGGATGCAATATTTTCTGACTATTTGAAATTATAAAGCAAACGCAAAAACACAGACTCACCTACTACATTCTCTGAAAAATAAGAGACAAATTCCCTCCAAAGGGATTGCTAAATAATGTTAACACTTTTTATGGCCACCCCTTAAAACACAACATTTCATTTAAGGATAGGATTAGGCCTTGGGATTCCTTTGGAATTTGACTTTGCCCAGCTGTGTTAGTGACCAGGTATTGCAGACACTGTTACTTAATATTTATACCCCATCATAAAAGGACATCTTTCTGTAGGGTAAACATGGTTATGGCCGATAATAACTGGGTCCTGGATAAGGAATGATAGAACAGCCTGATTCAAGGAAGAGAAAATGAGAGGTCAACCAAGCTGTGAGTCGCCGCCAGCAAGGGGCACAGGCCCTCGGAGCTCTGATGCAGTGACGGGCGCGTGCAGAAACAGGACGCCCGGCTCTGGCCTCTGGTCACAGCTCGGACTCCAGAACAACCAGCTGGGTGTCATGGAGCTGTGACTTCAGGGTGTGTGTGTGTGTGAGAGAGAGAGACTATGTGCACCTGTGTATCTATGTGTGTGTGCCTGTATGAGCACCTGTGTGTCTGTGTGCACCTGTGTGTCATGGAGCTGTGACTTCAGGGTGTGTGTGAGAGAGAGACTGTGTGCACCTGTGTATCTATGTGTGTGCACCTGTGTTGTGCACCTGTATGAGTACCTGTGTGCACCTGTGTGTCATGGAGCTGTGACTTCAGGGTGTGTGTGTGAGAGAGACTGTGCACCTGTGTATCTATGTGTGTGTGCCTGTGTGTGCACCGTATGAGCACCTGTGTGTCTGTGTGCACCTGTGTGTTGGCCTGTGTGTGTACACCCCTATGTGTGTGCTCTCAGTGTCCCAAAGACCTCTGCACCCTGAATTCCTTGCACAGGTAGGAGGGGCCCATGGGGCCTGGCGCCCACTGGCTGCCCTAGGAGGTGACACCTGCATACCAAGCAGCCTGAAGGCGAGTGCCCAGCCCAGCAGAACAGAGGGCCCTGTGCATTCAAGGCTCCCAGTGTCTGGAAGGTCCTTGGGATATGAGCCCTGGGAACCACACTGCCCAAAAGAGCTGGAATGGTTGGGACTTCCTGAGTCTCTAAGGAATTACTTCCGGTTGTATCAATGGTTCGTGACACCAGGGAAGCTCATATGTGTCCTTAGTTTCTTAAATATGAAAAAGAATTACAAACATGAGCAGAAAACCAGCTCTCAATGGACTTGAAGCAGGAATATGCATACATGTACACACACACATTGTTTATACACAAAACATTTGACCCAAACAGGAGAGAATCTCACGCCTACGACCATTATCTGGGGATCACAGACACTCAGGGCCCAGGTGTCAACAAGAATGGGTCAGCACAGTCGCAGGGCGTGGACTTTGAGGGAAGGAACAATGCCACAGAAGGCCGAGCGCCCGAGAGAGCAGTCTTCCTCCTGGGCCTCCCACACTCCTGCCAGCACTCTGCCAGGTGCACAGCTTAGAGGCCCTCACACTCACACACACGCACACACACACAGCTGATGGGGAGGCCAGGGCAGGAGGAGGAGAGAAGAGTGCCGGTCAGGGGAGAAGCCTGTGTTTTGGGTGGATTGGCAGAGCCTCTGCAGACACAGGACCTGCTTGCATCACTTCTCAGTTGTGGTCCCTCTGGAGTGAATGAAGAAACCACTCAACAAAGGCTGCTCCCCTGCACCTAGAGAGACGGTTGATGCCATCTACAGCCTGGAAGCCAGTGCTGCAACCCACACCCAGCGTGGTCTGCTCTGGGCGGGAGGGAGGAGCTGAGAATTTATGCAGGAGATGGGAGGAACATGGCAGTCAACTACTGCCCACGTGAGTTTTTTTTTTTTCCTGGGAAGTTGTAAACAATTAAAAATATATTAAAAAAATCATTTTAACTAAAGAACTTCTGCAGGCTGCAGCAGTTGGGCTGAGATTTACGAGCTACGCTTTTCTGAATGTGTTTCTTCCAGTCCGCGCCATATGGGACATGATCACAATTTTTTTTTCCTGTGTAGCAGCCCTGGTACATTCAAGGCAGCTCTACTGCTAGATTTGCTTGTCCAGGTAGTCCTGTCCTCTTAGGGGAAACCGGGTTACTGTGTGTCCAGGTAGTCCTGTCCTCTTAGGGGAAACCGGGTTACTGTGTGTCCAGGTAGTCCTGTCCTCTTAGGGGAAACCGGGTTACTGTGTGTCCAGGTAGTCCTGTCCTCTTAGGGGAAACCGGGTTACTGTGTGTCCAGGTAGTCCTGTCCTCTTAGGGGAAACCGGGTTACTGTGTGTCCAGGTAGTCCTGTCCTCTTAGGGGAAATGGGTTACTGTGTGTCCAGGTAGTCCTGTCCTCTTAGGGGAAACCGGGTTACTGTGTGTCCAGGTAGTCCTGTCCTCTTAGGGGAAACCGGGTTACTGTGTGTCCAGGTAGTCCTGTCCTCTTAGGGGAAACCGGGTTACTGTGTGTCCAGGTAGTCCTGTCCTCTTAGGGGAAACCGGGTTACTGTGTGTCCAGGTAGTCCTGTCCTCTTAGGGGAAATGGGTTACTGTGGAGCCACCAGATGACACACACCTCTGAGAAGAGATGGAGTGTATTTTTATCAGCAGAGCCAAGATGAAGTATGTCTTGAAATCTGCTTTACAAATAAACTTGCACATAAATTGTCCATTCACTGCTTGGAAATCTTTTTTCCATGTTTGAGGAGCTGTCAGAGGTCTCTAATAAACAGTGAGTCTTATTTAGTTTACAGGATATGTAATTCTTCTTTCCTTCGAAAATAATTATTTTTCAAGCGAGTGCAGCAAAAATACAACCAATAAAAATCTAGCTATGACAGCATAAACAACATTTATAGCAAGCGTATACATAGAGTTCTTCCAATAAAAGTAGTTCCCGCTCAGGGACGCAACACAGAGAATTGGCTGGCTGTTCCCAGATGGAGCGCTGACCCCTGAGAGCTGAGAAGCCACCTCACAGCTCGCTCGCTCCCACTTCAGCAGCCTGCAGGCCTCCGGATTATTGTGGTGCCGGAGGGGGGTCCGCAGGGCTGCTTGCTTGGTTGGGTCCGTGTCCTGCGTATCTGCACCTGGTTTAGCAAGACACCCTGGGACCTATTCCTGGGGCTAGAAAACTGATGGACACGGGGCGGGATGCCCTGCAGGACTCCGGAGGGGCAGGCGGGAGACTCTCTGGTTCTCCTCTCTGGTTCCTTCATTTTGGGTCCGGGCTGGTTGTCCGGTTGCCTTGGAGAGGGCAGTGCCAGGGCCGGTGGTGTGTTTGGGGGAGGGAGGCGGCGCGGCCGGGCTCCTCTGGGAGGCTCCGTGTTAGTGAGACATGCCGGGTGCTCATTTATGCTTTTTATAGTTGCTCCAGAAGATGTTATCCCAGCTTGAGAACAGAAATTAAACTATGTATCCTTCAGGTGCAAATCCGCCCTGCTTAGTTTTACTGTTTCTCAGCAGGGGGCCCCCATCAATCTTGTAGCAGGGAAATTCCTAAGGAAATTAATTCCCTCCACTTGGGGGAGTTCTCAGCTGGTCTTTGGGGGCGGAGTCTCCTGGAGGAGAGCCGGCCTCCTTCTTGGGGGGCGCGATTCTTCAGGCTGGCCTTCTGGCCCTCAGAGCCCCCCCCCCCCCTCTCCCCCTCCCAGGAGCCGTCCCTGCCTCTCCCTTCCCCTGGCAGGGTTTGCAGTCTCCAGGATCAGCCGGGAACGCACGCACCCCATCGGCGCCCATCTGCGCCCTCTCTGCCCCAGTCAGTTCAGACTTTTCCTCCCGCCGTTCAGTTTCCCAGGCCAGCGCGTCGGCGTCCAGGCCCAAAGCCCCAGGTCTGGTTCGCAGGCTCCTGGCCCCTGAAGGGCCACTTGATAGTCCCCTCCTTCTCAGGCTGTGCTGTGAGGGACCGGGCACAGGAGGCTGTGAGGACACGTCCACAATCCCTGGAGGAACCCGCGGGGATGGGCCGAAGCTGGCCCCAGCACCACGCTTTCCTGTGTCTTTGCACCAGGGGCAGGAGGGAAAACCAAGTGTGAGTGTTTTCTGTAACAGCTAATGACCAGCTCCTCCCACTGTGAGAGCCCAGAGGAGCGGGAGCCCTGACCAGCGCTGGCTGCAGGGGGGCGGCTGTGAGATGAGCCCAGGCAGTAAAGGGAGGGGTCTGGGCAGGTTCCTTAGCTCTGAGGTGGGGGTGCACAGTGATGACTTTCGCCTCATCAGCTGGAGGGAGCGGGAGCGCGGAGTGAGAACTGTGACACTCACGTAGGTGGCCCTGCGTAGACCTGAGTCGCCCAGTCCCGCTGGCCCAGGAGTGTTTGCTGCAGAGCCTGGGAGAGCTGAGAGGTCATCCTGACTTCTCCGTGGGCTGGGGGCGGCACAGGCAGAGTTGGCCAGGTGTTCTCTTTAAGGGGGGCTCTGCCCTGCAGCCGCCTGCTACCCCCAGCAGTCAGCGACACCCACTGTTTTGTAAGACTCACCCTGGCACACTTCTCTCGCTTTACAATTTCTCTCTCTCTCTCTTTTTTTAATCACAAAGGCGGTCCTCTCTGAAAACATGCACATCTCACAGTATTTAAGGAACAGTGAGCTCCTGTTTTCACTCTGGGGGTGGGACAAGCTCTCCCACCTGGGGAACACCTTCCTGGAGAAAGTTGGGATGCAGAAAACAAACCCCCCGGGGCAGGCGCCCGAAGCCGCCTCTGAAGCAAGGTCGCCTTCAGCTTTCTGGCCTCCGGGCTCCTGCTCCTCCCTCGCCCTGCAGGGCAGGCGCGGAAGCTGGGTTCTCTTCCCCAAGGCAGGGAGCAGGAACTAGGAGCCACCTCTCCTCCCCCCTCCCCAATCCAAGGATAAAGCCTAAAAATATTCCTCTAATCTCCCTGCCCCCAGCTAAGAAATCCTCTGACCGCTTGTCTGATGGGAGCCTAAGACCTTTAGAAGGGGTCCTGCCCATTGGGGGGGGGGGGCGCTGCAGAGAGGCTGGGGGGAACCTGCTTCAGTCTGTTAGATCCTGCCCTTTCTGTGCGATCACACCTCTACACTGCCGTTCCTCTGGGTCTTCCAGTCTCCGGGCTGAGGGTGCTCCGTGTTAGACTTTCCTTTTGTTCACTTGTCTTTGGGTTATAGGGGTGTTGGCCGGGATCCTTGATAAAAAATTCTGACATGTGCTAAATTTAACGATAAAGGCCAAGGATAGCGAGGAGGCGAGATGGGGAAGTTGGTTAACTTTTACTAGCTGAAAGCCAGAAGAGACTGTATCACCTTCCTGAACATACCTTACAGTCTTCACTCAGAGCCTACCACGGCCCTGAGGGCCACTGCCTTCCGCTTACAGCCCCAGACAGTGCAGAAGTCCACAGAGCTGCTCTGTTCAGCTCTGCTAGCCCGGCTGGGCATACCACCCCTCTTAAGTCAATGTGAACAACAGATGCGTTCCCGCCCAGGATTCTTCTTCTAAAACACTTATTTATTTGAAAGGCAGAGTTACACAGAGAGAGACAGTGAAGAGAGAAGTCTTCCATCCGCTGGTTCACTCCCCAACCGGCTGCAATGGCAGGACCTGGGCCAGACTGAATTCAGGAGCCAGGATTTTCTTCCGGGTCTCCCACGGGGGTGCAGGGGTCCAAGCACTTGGGCCATCTTTTGCTGCTTTCCCAGGTGCATTAGCAGGGAGCTGGATTGGAAGAGGAGCAGTCGGGACTCGAACCGGTGTCCATAAGGGATGCCATTGCTGCAGACAGACTTTAACCCACTACGCCACAGTGTTGCACCCCCCTCCAAGATTCTTATAAAAATACCCTCATCTCTGCGTGGAGTGGACACACTTCTAAACGCTCTCTAGGCCTGCTGCTCTTCTCACAGGAACGTGTCCCAGGACCTGGGCCTTCTTTGGGTCTACCATTTGCATCAGCTCAGTAAACCCATGGGTCTCAGAGAGGCTTTGGTCTCAGGTTTTGTTTTAATGCCCTTTGTGGTCAGCAGGAAGGGCATCACTTGATTTTCTGTCCCTGTTAAGACCCTTTCTACGCTACATATATATCTTAGCTATATATATTTTATTTACTTATAATTCTATGCTTAAACACAGTAATAGGCTATACTTGTGTATCCAATTTATGGCATGTTTTTTAAAACTAAACTTTTTTATTTTAAAATAAGTGTAGATTCACATACAGTTTTAAAGAAAAACAACACAGGCCAGCTTTGGTGGCGTAGCGGCTTAAGCTGCGGTGACACCTGCTTCTGTATGGGCGCCAGTTCATGTCCCAGCCGCCCCACTTTCGATCCAGCTCTCTGCCAAAGGCCTGAGAAAGCAGTGGAAGATGGCCCACATGCCTGGGCCCCTGCACCCACTTGGAGACCTGGATGAAGCTCCTGGATCCTGGCTTTGGCCTGGCTGGGCCAGGCTGTTTCAGCCACTTGGGGAGTGAACCAGCAGATGGAAGACCTCTCTCTGTCTCTCCATCTTTCAAATACATAAATCTTAAAAAAAAAAAAAAAAAAAACAAGCAGGAAGACCCCATGTACATCTTCTCCAGTGGTAACATCTTGCACAACCTGTAATGCAGTACCACCACCAGGATGTCAGTATCACACAGTCCACCATCTTTTCCAGATTTCCTGGTTTGCTTGTACTTGTGAGTGTGTGTGTGTGTGTGTGTCAGAGAGAAGAGAGAGGGAGCGCATACTTAGCTCTATTCAGTCATGTTTAGGTTCATGCATCTACCCCACAACCAAGGTACAAAATAGTTCTCACCCTCCTACTGCACTTTTTAAAGAATTACTTTTATTTATTTTTAGATTTATTTATTTGAAAGAGTTACTGATGGAGAGGGACTGACAGAAAATTTTTTTAATAAAAAGATTTTTTATTTTATTTGAAAGGCAGAGTTGCAGAGAGAGAGAGAGAGAGAGAGAGAATCTTCCATCTGCTGGTTCTCCCAAATGGCCACAATGGCTGGAGCTGTGCTGATCCGAAGCCAGGAGCCAGGAGCTTCTTCCAGGTCTCCCATGCGGGTGCAGGGGCCCAAGGACTAGGGTCATCCTCCACAGCTTTCCCAGGCCACAGCAGAGAGCTGGATCAGAAGTGGAGCAGCCTAGTAGCCTGGTCTTGAACTGGCGTCCATATGGGATGGCAGCACTGCAGGCGCTGGCCCCAAGGCTGCTTCTCATCACTAGGGCTGGGGAATGGAAGGCGGTGTGGGTCAGCCGTCGTGGCGCAGAGGTCAGACCAGCCTCGGGACGCCCCCATCCCAGTCGGACTGCGGATCCAGCTTCTTCAGAAGCAGAAGACGGTGGCCCGGAGGGTGCCGCTCAGGCAGGACACCCCGCTGGAGAACGGGCTCCCGGCCTGGCCGGCCCCGCCCTGGCTTTTGCAGCCATTTGGGTACTAAACCAATGGAAAGAAGCGCACGCTCTCTCTCTCTCTGTGTCACTCTGCCCTTCAAGTAAAAAAAACTTTAAAATTTTCACAAAAAGAAATGTATCCAAAACAATTCAACATGCAATCCGTATATAGATTAATTTTTTTGGAAGACATCTTTGAAATCCGGCCAGTGCAGGTCCCAGCCAGCCACCAGCCACTGAGGGGCAGTTCAGTTCCTGGTTCTCGTCCAGGCACCTGGAGATGCCCTCCTGCCCACCCTCACAGCAGCCTAGGAGACAGGCACAGGAAGAAGCA